GCTTATACAAGGGGGGCTTATATATGGGGGGGGGGGCTTATACATGGACAATCTTTTGTGTTAGTAATAAACAAGTCAGACATAAACAGGAAAATAAACATATATTAAGCAGCAATTACTTGGCTTATATTAATTTGGGGGACTTATATTCGGGCCGGGGGCTTTTATTCGGGTAGGCTTATATTCGGGGGAGCCTTATATTTGGAATGAGGTGAACGTTAGTACATGTGGGGGGCTTATATTCGGGAGGGGGGGCTTATAGTCTGAGGTTCACGGTATATGCCACCTATAAAGTGCTATAACTTGGCGGGAACAAATTTATAGCACTTTGTTTTTAGTGAGAATAATTTTCACCTGATGAATTTATTAAAAGCGTATATGCCCGTGGTAGGTGGAGAATCTTCTGATGAAGAGTATGAAATCAGCGCGTGCGGCATCTCAGAGAAACGATGGCCGATGGATATTAAACTGATAAGTTTGCTGTTACTTCATCTTGCAAGGAGATAGTGGACTCACAATAATAATAAAATGCTAAATATGCAGTATCCCTAACTGAAAATATGCCATACCCTGACATGGCCGAAATTATTCTTTTGATCGATCTAATATAAAGTAGTGACTTGCCTAACCTATTGCACAAAAGACTACTTTGCAACTAGGCCCAACTTCAATAAATTATAAAAATCTATTATTTATGAAAAATCGTATTATTATTTATATCAAATATCCTTTTAATATCTATTTTAAATTTATTTTATATTCTGAGAGGTTTTGAAGGAGGTTTTGAAGGAGGTCCAGAAAGAGGTCCAGAAAGGGGTCCAGATGAGGGGGGCCAGCTTTTGTACCCTCCCATGACTCACAACATATAATTAAAATAATTCAGATGAGTGTAAATTTAAGCCAATATAAAGCAAATATTGTTATTACACAGCACACTGTTGTGTAGTCAAGAAGTGAAACATCACGGTATATAGGAATGTGACTAACCTCTTGACAGAGAGGCATCAGATGTTCCTTCATCGATGTCAAAATCGAAGCCACTACCTGATTCAAATGAGCAAACATCAAGGTCCCCCTCTAAAAATGCAATTAATAATTCAACAGCGCTATCACACATAACTGAAGCACAAAGCAACAAATAGTATATGGTGAGGCGGATAATCTATAAAAATTAAAATTAATTTACCTGTAACACTTATAGTTTGGCCAGAAGTAGCGTGCTTTTTGTTTGTTTTGCGCCGCTCAGCAACAGACCGGTATTTGTGTTTGGGATTACGGATTCTTTTACCGCTGCTATTGTACGAGAGGAAGAAGTCGCTCTGCTTTGGGGTCTTTTTTGTCTCTAATGAACTGGTTAGCTCTCTTAAATTTTCCAAACTAGCCTCCAAGGAAAGCTGTTGTTGTGATGACCGCTTGGACGGTTTAGCCTGTGGTTTAGCGCACTCTTTGGCAGCCGCCATTTTGAGAGCATACACGCGATACGCGGACCAACCTTACGGGCTCTGGGTACTACAGATGATTGAAGGCCTTGAACTATCTATTATGCATATTCTTAGGACATTTGACATATACCTATAATAGGTATTCTTAGAGTGAGGATGTGTTGCCACAATAATATCTACGGTGAAGGCTATTTCAGATACGGTAGAGCACCTAGTCCCCAGGCCTTTACCAGCGCGACCGCGAAATTCAATATGGCGCCAAGCTAAGGAGTGGAGTTTAAATTCTATAATTTCTGTTGTTGTTTTTTGATCTTTTTATTCTTTTTGGTTGGTAGAACTTATATTCTGATATGCCAGGTATCTTACTCTTTACCTGATTAATCTGAAAAAAGATTTTATAACAGAATTTTTCTCAAACATAGTTTAAATTAATACCTATATGTTTCAGTGAATTATGCTTTAAAAGTAAAAAATAGATTGGCCAAGATAAGAAATTTTTGACACTTTCAACTTCAATTTTGAAAATTGTAATAACAGCCTAGTTTATATTCCATAATCCACAGAACTTGAAAATCCATGCGGAATGTACAAATTATTGACTTTTCGAGTGAAGTTCTGTTTGAATTTTTCAGGTACTAAGTTATATCTAGTTATTTTGTTATCGTCTCTATCTAGCCTGGCACAGACCATTCAAGATTGCACTGTTTAATTAGCACCAACACTAACAGTCATGGTGGCAGGGATGGATCCAGCATGATCTGGTAGGAGGGGGGGGTTGATCTGCCAGCTCTAATGCCGAGTTATGTTGGTCATGCATGCCATCCGCCCATCAACTTACAGGTCAAGTCTTGCTTGACTACTGTATTTGAATTGTAATTGTTGTTCACAGTTCGCTTCTTATCATGTTATCGATGTCACTCAAATTACTGTATCTCATTTTGTCTCTATAATATTTTTTTGTTTTATCATGAAAAATAGCACCCCCCCTGGCCAGGGCTAGGGAGGTGCACCCCCCCAGGAAATCCATCCCAACATACAGTTGGGTTTATAGGGGGAGGGGAGGGGGGTTGACAGAGGTACACACCCTTGGCCAACAGGGGAGTGTAAAAATCTAAAGGGTGGGGGTGCACTTCAAATTTAATTTACCATATATGTATACAGGGCGTTATAGAATTAAAAAAAATCTGGGCAGGATGTTACAAGGCCATCGGAAGTAAATCAATATTGGGGGGACTCAAGAATATATCTGAATAAATTTTAATTGCTTTTGCACTTTTCTAGTTATTTTGTGTGTTTTGCTTATACAAATGGAAATTTTAGGGGGGGGGGCTCAAGCCCCCCACTTCTGACGGCCTTGTGTTACATGTGACATTGCCAGCTGCCATTAATAGTTTGCAGAATTGTGAAAAATAAGTGGTAATGCACTTTCTCCATTGGTATTATAGACATAATACACATAAAATTCCACAAGACCAATTAACTTGGTAATCCTGAGTATTCCATACTCATTGGGAAATCAGTCAGATGCAATTGTACCCACCCTCTGGTCAACCCTTGCCACTAGACGTTTCAGTACCTTTGCCCTGCATACCATGGTTTATGAACTCAACATTTTATGATTGAATTAGCTCTTCTACTATGATATTTTATGCTCAAGTAAATAGAAAGTTGTACAGCAATTCGGCTGGAATAATGGCCAGATGTTCACTCCGCAGTGGCATAACTCCTAAGGGTTGTGCCTAGCAAGAGTCAGGGGCCCAGGGGGTGTGCCTTGTCAAGGAAGGTCCCTGGGCTAACCTTTATGCAGTGTTTGGAAATTTTAATTTAAATAATTAATTTAATTAATAAATTAAATTAATAATTAATTAATTAAATTAATAATTATTATAAATAAATTAATAATAATTAATTAATATTATTTCGTCTGAGCTCCCGTCAACCTCTCGGCGGCCCTGTTCTTCAATCGTTTGAAATGACCTTACACCCCCCTGAAGAATCCCTAAGGAAGGCCCTGGGTCAAGGGGGCCCTTCACGGGGAACACTGAGATTTCATCCTACCCATAATTAAGATTCTGGAAAATTAGTACCCCATATGCCCCTAGTGTCTAATAGAATGTGAATTTCAAGTTGTAAAATAAAAGGAAAGTGCTATTTTTGCAGGGTATATCCTTAAGTGACCCAAAAAATAGATTGATTATGTGATCAGCTTTAACTTCTTAAAAACAACTTAAAATCCAACTTTACCCAGAAATAGTTAAATACTTTGCATTCTATGGAATACAAAGCTCATTTGTAACTTACTGTTTGCAATGAGTAAAATTAATATTGTATTATGTAATGTAATCTTCAAAAATTATGAAGGGCCTTAGAACTCCTCTCCCAACCAAAGAAACAAATTAAAGGGGATGGCTTGGTCCATTACACCCTACTGTTAATGACAGGGATGGCTTTACTGGGGGGTGCACCCCCCTAGCCCTGGCCAGAGGGGGGGTGTTATTTTTCATGATAAAGCAAAAAATTATTAGAGGCACAATAAGATACAGTAATTTGAGTAATAACATGATGATAAGCCAACTGTGAACAACAATTACAATTCAAATACAGTAGTCAAGCAAGACTTTGCAGTAGTGAAACAGGTTGATGGGTGGGCGGCACACATGACCGACACAACTCGGCACCATGCAGAGCTAGTAGAGCAACCCCCCCCCCTACCAGATCATGCTGGATCCATCCCTGGTTAATGAAAAACATGAGATTGATTATAAAGTTTGTCTCCACTATGTGTTCTTTTATGTGTTGCTGAAGTACTTGAATATCTGAATTCTTTACAGATATGATATTCATATAAGGTTTTACTCTATTATGTGTTCTTTTATGTGACAATAACTAAATTGTTTGATGTTGAATGTTTGTTACACATCTTAGCAAGCCCCATATACAGGATGTGCTTGCCTGTATCATGATTTGTTGCAGTGTATGTTGTTTAAACAAATTTGCCATCTACAGCATTGATTTATTTTTCACAATTCTGCAAACTATTAATGGCAGCTGGCAATGTCACATGTAACACAAGGCCGTCAGAAGTGGGGGCTTGAGCCCCCCCCCCTAAAATTTCCATTTGTATAAGCAAAACACACAAAATAACTAGAAAAGTGCAAAAGCCATTAAAATTTATTCAGATATATTCTTGAGTCCCCCCAATATTGATTTACTTCCGATGGCCTTGTAACATCCTGCCCAGATTTTTTTTTTAAATTAATTCTATAACGCCCTGTATACAAGGTTAGTACCCTATTGAATAACTTGCACACCTGACACCACTATAAAGAAAAATGGGCCGGCCATTGCTAATGTGCCAGTTGAAAGGTAAGCATGAGCTACTAAGTGTGTTAGCTTATTTAGGTCATGGAACAAGACAATTACAAAAGTAGTGAAAGAGGACACATTAGTTGTGAATATGTTTTTTTTTTGCTATCATCACGATAATGTTCACCCAGCATGAAATGAAAAGGTAGTGCACAACCTGTGCAGAGTCCATTTTGCATGTTGACACACAATTTGGCATTAAAATTGTATATTGTTGATTGCTAGGCGAACAAGTGAGGACTCTGAACCCGGCATTGCTTGACGAGTAAGATACTTCCCAATTACACATACCACATGAAATATCTAAGGTTACAAGGTGGCAATATATTTGTAATACTAATTATATACAATATCTCAAATGCTCAGATGTATGGTAAATTAAATTTGAAGTGCACCCCCCCCCTTTACACTCCCCTGTTGGCCAAGGGTGTGTACCTCTGTCAACCCCCCTCCCCCTATAAACCCAACTGTATGTTGGGATGGATTTACTGGGGGGGGGGTGCACCTCCTTAGCCCTGGCCAGGGGGGATTTTCATGATAAAGCAAAAAAATATTTTAGAGACAAAATGAGATAAAGTAATTTGAGTGATATCGATAACATGATAAGAAGCGAACTGTGAACAACAGTTACAATTCAAATACAGTAGTCAAGCAATACTTGACCTGTAAGTTGATGGGCGGGTGGCATGCATGACCAACATAACTCGGCATTAGAGCTGGCAGATCAAACCCCCCCCCTCCTACCAGATCATGCTGGATCCATCCCTGGCACCATGACTGTTAGTGTTGGTGCTAATTAAACAGTGCAATCTTGAACGGTCTGTGCCAGGCTAGATAGAGATGATAACAAAATAACTAGATATAACTTAGTACCTGAAAAATTCAAACAGAACTTCACTCGAAAAGTCAATAATTTGTACATTCCGCATGGATTTTCAAGCTCTGTGGATTATGGAATATAAACTAGGCTGTTATTACAATTTTCAAAATTGAAGTTGAAAGTGTCAAAAATTTCTTATCTTGGCCAATCTATTTTTTACTTTTAAAGCATATAATTCAATGAAACATATAGATATTAATTTAAACTATGTTTGAGAAAAATTCTGTTATAAAATCTTTTTTCAGATTAATCAGGTAAAGAGTAAGATACCTGGCATATCAGAATATAAGTTCTACCAACCAAAAAGAATAAAAAGATCAAAAAACAACAATAGAAATTATAGAATATAAACTCCATTTAAACTCCACTCCTTAGCTTGGCGCCATATTGAATTTCGCGGTCGCGCTGGTAAAGGCCTGGGGACTAGGTGCTCTACCGTATCTGAAATAGCCTTCACCGCAACGGATAGTCTACGGCAATGTTTTCATGGTTGAAAATGTATTGTTACAGCTTTGTTTACAGACATTCAGCTGTTCGCATTCAAGCACTCATGTACAAGACTACAAGCTAGGGTACATCGGTTTTGTCCTTAAAGTATTGTACTTAACAGTTTATATGAAAGACTAATAATTAGTCGCCTTATTATATCGCAGTATTCATTCCAATAATACTTCGACAATGTATGGCAAGATATATCATATATTAGTCTCAACACTCCGCCATCGAGGCAATATAGCCAATATACATACCTTTTACAAGAATGGAACTACAAATTTTGAATCGCAATTGACTATCGTTTCGACACCATTACAAACTTAACATTTGGCCCGAATGAACCCGTACCTTTATCAACCTCGTTCCCAGGCTATTTGCTATTTGCTCTTGGTTCTTTGCTTCCCAAGAGCAAATAGCCTGGGAACGAGGTTGTACCTTTACATAAAACAGCCAAACATTTTGCGACAAGCCTCGGGAGATCACGCGAGATTTCAGTCTCGTTGAACACACGGTGACTGAAATGAATTGCTAAGCTTAAACGAAAAGTCAAACTTGCGATTAATCGAACAGAGATGTTGACGAAAAGATCCTGTAGTTTAAAATAGGACTTATTCTAACACATCAAATTAATCAAAATGACTCAGTTTTCCATCTGAATCGATCAGTTTAAAATATCAGATGTGGTGTACAATTTTCTACATACTATACATTGGAGAAGGTAGAACTTTTATACTGACCTGAAATAATTATTTGAAAAACGTTATCTGTACGTCTCTCTTCGTTGAATCGATCAATTGACTTGCTAGGTAAAAGAATTTCTCCGCGCGCGTGGGAAGTATATTTCGAAGAAAGGGAATTGAATTCCCCGAATTATACATTAATAATTGCAACACAGGTAACTTGAGACAATCATTGGATCTGATCCAATGGATCATATATTACACTAAGCCGCAAGCCCGCCAATATTAACTTTTCACGAGAATGGCTTCTGTGTCCATATAAGAACCCGTTTCTGTCAGTTTTGTTTAGCAAATTGGTTGACAAAGCTGCATGAAAGCTATATTGAACATAAATTGCGTCTATTAATACAACTTTAAATTAAAATGTAGAGTCATACTACGCACAATAGACTAGTTGCTTACGGTTACGTATCGAGTTTTTCTATTTTGCCCTTTTTGGAGAAAAATACAATGCTTCGCCCTTCCACATTCTAAATGTATGTTTACATTAGTCTACACCGTCAGGACGAAGTTATTTCGCTGACTTCAAAATGACATTTCGTCAAAACTTTTTTTCTTCAAGATTGGTTTAGAGAGAGAGAGAGAGAGACTTTATTTATAGAGGATGACACTTGACAGTACGAATACTGATGACTCTGTGGTCCTCTGGAAACCTATGTGCCTAACCCACCCATGTCAACTTTCCCTGTGGGAGGAAACACGGAGAACCCGGAGAAAACCCACGACTTTCGGCAGAGCGTTGACTTTTACTCTTTTCACATGAGACCTGGGTTCGAGTCACATTGAGAAGTTCTCACTGAGATTCGAACCTGCCGCCTTAGAGGTGAAAGGCAAGTGCGCTAACCACTTCGCCACCTACTCCTTCGCCACTTGGAGTAGAATTAGGTTAGGATTAGAGTTGATGTTTGGAATAGGGTTAGTGTTACTGTGTTAGTACAACCGTTGCTTTGTTACGTTTTGTCCCTCTGAGGCAAGTGAAATAACCTCTTCCATACCGTCATTCCGATTTGACTTTGTTCTAGTCACTGTTAGCCTGCTCACAGACGTTGTAGTTCTTACGCCAAGCGACGAAATACTACAACGTCTGTGAGCAGACTAAGTCACTGTAAGCGGCCCTAAAATTCAGACTGCGTAATTAATTGTCGAGTTTTTAGTCCATGCAGATGAATCTGGACGGGCATATTCGACACTTCCGTAACACAATAATTAAATAGTCCATATGGCACATTAATGAGGTAGTTCCCCAAAATGCAGTGACTCGCTGATTCATAACATGTATCTTTCTGTAAGATCAGTAGAACGATAGACGGATTTTCAGATAATAATTTCAGGTTTGTACACTTTCGTTATAGGTCTTATACTAATAGTGCACAGCAGTCTCACATGCTTACTATACATAGTAGTTAACAGCAGTAATCGTAAGATGATTCATTTTATTCGTCATCACATAGCTATGGTTGCTGACGAGATCAAGTACGATTATTTCGCATCTTAATAATACATGCTAAATTAAACTAAATACATTTATTATACCACCGCTAGAATTAAGTATAAGTTTTCTTTTCGGTTGTATAAATGTGTGTAACAGTGTAAGTGTTATGTGTGTGTGTTTGTCTGTTTTTGGATGAAATTTGGACGAAATTACTGCATGTAAACAGTAAACTTCCTGTATGATTGATTGATTTATGCAAACAATTGTGTCGTTTATACAGCTTTGAGTGCATGCTCTCTAGTTTCTATTGGATAGATCAGACTGTCAGCTCTGAGTGTATTCCGTTCTAGGTTAGAGAATATTTTCTGGAAAGCCATATTTTAAAATGCCATATGCAAAACAATATTGGATACAGTCTAAAGAGCCATCATATCTAAAAAGTAGTCACACGAGAGCCAGAGGAATTGCGAGCTCTGTCTGCATTCTGTTCTGGCGACACTTTCTTTACATAAAAACCCTTATTAAGCCGGGAGTAAAAATGAAAGAAATGGGACAAAAGTTGAAAAGAGAGAGTAGTATGCGGGTCATGTTCACGATTTCCCTGCATGCGAATAATTTTTAGATAACACGACTCCATGTCAGAAATTACGTTGCAAATTGCAGCAAAACTTGACTCGGATCGTGTAGGCTATTATAAATCCTACATTCTGATTGGCTATACTACTAGAGAGCTATTGAGTGACCAATCTCGTACCCAGGCTGTGTGCGAGGTTGTTAAGTTATAGTCCACAGTAATAGAAATTAGCGGGGAACGAGGGACAATAAACCTGTGAATCAATGGTCATTTAAAAAAAAAAAAAAGGGTGAGTGAAAATATGTTGCCAAAAACTGGTTGCCGTTAACGAATCTCTCGGTTCGGCTATGAATAAATAAACTTCAGAACATCATAATTTTTAATAATAAGTTCTTTCTTGGATTGCATGGCGATAAAATATCACAATAAATATCAATTTTTTGCTAGAATACTGAAACATGGGTTCCAAATGTTCAATCCTCAACGATACTCAACACGATGTATGGATCACACACGGAATAAATTGGCCGTCTTTTGCTGCTGTCGTTACTTTCCTGCTGTCCCTAGCTACAGTGTGTGCCGGTGCGATAAATATACATGCGGGAAAAGCGCTAGTTGTTTTCGATGGTTTCATTGGAACGCTTCTATTGTGTGGTACGAACGAAGCTCAAAAGAAAAGAACGGATAGGGCTTCGGCTGAATTGATCAAGCCTGGTGAAAAGTACACGTGGTCTGGTACACTATCTCTCCACATGCGTGTCTATGTTATGAACGATAACCTACAGTATGATGACAGAGCGTGTTTTACTGGTCCCACTGCAAGCTCCGAGTACGTCTACGCCATTTCCGAGTATTTTCAAAAGCTCGACGTGAAGACCGACTAAGAACGCATGATGACATCAAATTTACACTCAATTAGTTATTAATAATTGATGTGTTAATATTTTGTCTAGTACACATGTAAAAATGCACAAGTTGTAACAAACTTACAGCAGACTTGTAACAATGCTGTTCTAACAACTTGTCAACAGAATGTGTTCGCACTGCTTGTTCCAAGCTTGTTGAAAAGTTGTCAACGACTTGTTGACAACTTGCTACAAGGTTGTTGAGCTCAACAGATTTGTTGCAAGTTGTTCGAACAACTTGTTATCGTCCTCCAATTCAACAATTTGTCAACAAGTTGAGAGTGATAACTTTGTAGCAACATGATAAATAACAGCATTGTTACTTGTTGACAAGCTTGCTACACAAGCCTGTTGCGAACGCGTACACATTTTGTTGACAAGTTGTGAGATTTTTACCGGTGTGTATAAGCATAAACAATCCAGAAGACAGGGACTGGAAACGCTTAATGTTTTAAAGAGTATATTTTTACTCTGTGGTGATGCGCTTGCGTGACGCTTGCGCATGTGCCATCTTGAACAAAATCCAAAACGAATAAACGATTAATATTGATGTATTGTCTGCTGTTTTTATACAGCTCTTTATACTGAAAGATTCAGTTTAAATAAACTACACCGAAAAGGGAGCTAGGTATATCACATTGTGTGTAAAGTTTATAAAACGGATCTGTTAATATCGGCAGGGACGAGTGCAAAGAGTTTTCGAGCTTGTTCGAAAATTTTGATTTCCAATTTGGGGTGGACTTTCAGGCACGATTCAGGTTTGTTTGCGTATTTTAGTTTTCTTTAATTGGCAATTCCAGCTTTTAGTTTATGCGTGCAGGGGATGATGGGAAGTAAGGTATCATATTGCCGATTATGCTGAAAAATTTCAATAAAAACTACCGAAACAACCAAAATATTTCAATATTTACAAGTATAAGCTATCACTCCGTGTTTACACGGCCACCATTTTTATTTTTTCAGCATAATCAGCAATATGATACCTTACTTCCCATCATCCCCTGCACGCATAAACTAAAAGCTGGAATTGCCTATTAAGTTTACGTATATTTATTTAGTTATGCTTGACTGCATTTACGTTATAAATTGTTGAAGTTACCTTTAACCTATAACCTTTAAGTTACGTATAACGTTAGCTTTAGCAGTTTCATACTTTTGTATGGAATGAAATAACTACCATATCGTTTAATCCATTGCTATTTGACGAATCAAAATAACCAACCGCTTGCGCTCAAAATCATAGATATCTTATATACACTAGATAGCGCATCTCTTTTAGTAAAATTGAAGCCAAGAGTATTCCAGCGGTTACAAGCAACAATAACTTTCATCATTTGAATAGTTTAAAAGTGTATTTGGAATATGTTTAACTTAATGTTCAAGTTCCCTAGTAAGAAATAGAAAACATACGAATCTTCCGATTTCATGGGAATATCCTGAGACTGCAATCACGGCTTCAATTTTTGAATTGCAGAATAATTAGATGCACTATCTAGTGTATATAAGATATTTGTGCTCAAGATTCACTTAAAAGTCTGCCTCCTACCCAGATGCTTTAAATAATTATAATACATGAAGTATTCAGGCAGGCAGGCAGGCAGGCAGGCAGGCAGGCAGGCAGGCAGGCGCACTCTTCCCATCAGCTCCTTCACCCTTCTCTTGCCACAATGCTTCATGTAAACTCGCCCTATGCGCGTCGCTGTTTTTATTACAAACTACAAAGAGACGCCTGGGTACGAGGCTGCTTAAAAGTGGCGACACCAATAGATATTCTAACTTGTGCAAATATGCAAATTAGATAAAATCATGGGAATTTTTTTTATAAAATTAAATAATTCAAATTAGTCATAAGTCACATCATTTGAAAGTTGAACCTTCGAATTTCAATACAGTTCATGTGCCTTACAGTTAAACCGTCATTATTTAATTTTTTGCTCTTATTCATAGGACTATATTTATCAAGGTTTTCGCCTACAAACCAGAAATTTGAGAGCATTTTCATTTTTGTGCCTAAGCTTTAGACTCATTTTAAATCATTTTTATGATTACATACAAAATCTTTAGAGACCACAAACCTTGTCTTTTAAAGTAAACAAGTAGGAATTCTCTTTAAACTTTCCCTTTCAAGCAAGGACGCCGGAACTGGGGGGCAGGAGGGGCAGCCGCCCCCGTTGCCCCTCACCTGGATGGGCAAGGGGGGCAAAGGTGCCCTTTCAATTTAAAGGATTGCCTTGGCGAAATAGCGAATTGTCAGAAATGTTAGTGCAATTCTTTTACGAATTTGCTTCAGAAAACGCAAGAAATGCAGTCATTGAGCTTCAAGAATAGCACAATCGCCTGGCGGAGAACCCCCTCACACCCCTATCATCCAATAAATAGAAAACATGATTAGGCGAAGTTCAATTCGCGATGTTTTGCAAACATCTCTTATTATATATCAATTCAAAAGTGCCCTTTCACGAAAATCTGCCCCTCTTGCCTTCACATCGTTCCGGCGTCCCTGCTTTTAAGCCTGAATTACTTTTGACTTAATTTCTATAATTTGGACAAGTTGAAATATTGATATATAAATACTTAAGATGGCACCCTTAAGTGAATCTAGAAGGCAAATTTATTTTGGTAAGTCAACTATCAATGGCTTACAATGATAGGCTAATTATTTTATCTAGTATAACAACCTGAAACTTCGAATTCTATCAAAGCTGACGTTGCAATATTACAAAGTATAGTGGGGGCATTTTTGGGGGACACCCTGTACATAGAGAATGTTTTTACTTACATACTAGAGGTGTGCGTCGGATCGGATTGACCTCTCTCAATCCGATGGTTTGTCTAAGTTCTCAATCCGAATCCGATCCGAAGACGAAAAAAGTAATCCGATCCGATCCGAAACAATGTTTATAAAATCCGATCCGATCCGATGCTAAAATTCGTAATCCGATCCGATCTTAAGTTGTGTACAGCGTGCGTTAATTATTATGAACGTATTTTTTCATGATCATAAACGATATATTGGAAATAATGAATTTCTAGCAAAAATAAGCAGATACGAATCCGATAAAAATTGCAGGGCGATATCACATAATTATGCCTTATAGCGTTCACCTTTACAGTACACAGTAACAGCAGTTTATATTTTATTAGAATTAGCATAGAAAAAAACCCCAACTAGTCAAAAATGTTTTATTCAGTATAATAAATCATGAGCTTGAGCTAGGTTTACATTTTAAAACATCTTAAAGTTTATCACTAATAAACCTCATTGTCAGGCTTCATGATACATAAACCTAACAAACCAAACAAAAAAACACAACATTCCTAAATTTCCTATATATCCAATTCCCGTACGTAACTGAGAAATATACGTCCAAAGACTCCAAAATCCAAATAACTCAAAACTCTTTTTAGAAATATATGTCACAAGAACTCAAAACACTTTTATACCAGGTGTGGAATACAGCTGCAGAATATAGAACTTTCCCAATTTGTAAAAATATTCGAATAATTCGACGTGATACAAGAAAAATCAAATCCGAACCGATCCGACAAAAAACCTGCAAAATCCGATCCGACAGAAACAAAACGAAATCCGATCCGATCGGATCGGATTCGGATCGGATTCGCACACCTCTATTACATACAGTTACTTAGTTTGGAGTTGTATGTTTTTCAGACGTTTTAATTTAATAAATAAAAATTTTCCATTGAATTGAGCTTACTTTTCATTGTAGGAGAAACTAGAATTATTTCTTGTTATTTTTGGGACATCTCGTCAATCGACTTGCTAACAAGGAGACCTTATTTTTTTATCTGTTAAGTATACAGTAGTATGCAATAGTTATCATAACAAGTCGCTTCTGCAGCTATCGATCCTTAGTATATGTCCAGCTTTTTAAAATGCTCTGATATGGTGTAGACAGTTTCCGAGTCTTCAGAAGAGCCTGTGAGACTTTGATCGTCCCATTGCAACTTATCATTCATAACATAAACACGCATCGTGGGAGACAGGGTCCCAGAGCATGTGTACTTTTCACCAGGCTTGATCAACTCCGCTTTCTCCTGGAACTCTTTGATGGCGGATTTCATCTTTTCAGCCTCGCTTTGAGGTATACTAAGAAGTTCTGACAACACCGCGTCGCTCATCCCAAGTACAAAAGCCACATTTTGCCAACCTTTTTTTGTCAAACCTGCTGTTTTCTTTACTGCTATTTCGCGTGTGGTCACGTTGTTACGACTCGTCCTCCTTTCTACCTCCGGCCCCTCCTCCTCTGCAACGTGGGCGAGCACACTGGCCCCCATTGCACACAAAGTGACCAAGCCACGCGTTGCCCCTATCAAAACTTCCCAGTCGACGTCATGAGTGATCCAGACATCATGGTGCGTGTCGTTGAGAATAGAACAGCTCGAGCCCATGACTCCGTATCCTACTGGCAGAAATCAGTAAGCTAGCTTCTTTCAAAAATGTCATGCTGTGAACTGGG